GGGGGGTTCAGGGGGGAGAGGACAGAGGTTTGTATTAAATATAAAATGTAGGCGAGCCACAAGGAGGAGAACCACGGTCGAGGCACGTGTTGTGCTGTACACTCATGCAGACACCTGGGGGCAGTCTGTGTCCTGCCGTATTATTTGTTGAAGAGGTGACACATTAACCAACGACCAATCTGATGAAAGGTCAGAGAGGAGACGGGGCAACTGATGATGACTCCACAGTAAACCACCAAAGTCAAAGGTGAGAGATGGGAGGTGGGCGGGGGAGAGGAGGGGAGGGCAGTGAGAGAGAGAGAGAGAGAGAGAGGGAGCGAAAATAAGGGGAGACTAAAAGAGAGAACAGGTGAGAGGGAAAAAGAGGGACACATGGAGGGGGACGGGGGAGGGTGAGGTTGAGGGAGAGAGCATAAGGATGAGCTGATGTCATCTGTGACTCACACGTCATTGGTTGGTTCAGTGACTTAGTTCTGGTCGACTGAGGAAGACCTCACTGCGTAGTCTGCCTTAGTTTGAGGTTTGTGGTCAACAAATGTGTGTGTGTGCGTGTGTATGCGTGAACACAGATGAGAAGAAAAATCAGAGATGTCCATCTGCCCAGAGGAGAGAAGAATAAACTTCTCATCTTCATCATGTTGAGCTAGGATCAAATAAAAAGTGAAACACTCGACCAAACCACGTTCAGACCACCGTGAAGACGGGGGGAGACAGAGAGGATGACCAGGAAGTGGGGGCACCAGGACACTGGTATGAAGAGTCACCTCCACCAGCAGGGGGAGCATGTGCCTCAGTGGTCAAGAATCAGAGTGAAATCAATTGGACTTCCAACAAGGACAAGGGGCTCCTTCAGCACCACGGACAGCTCTCTGTCAGTTACAGCAACTGTCCAGTAGTGTTAGCCTCTGTCCCGCCTTTTCATTGGACATTACTTCAGTAAAATAAACTATTTGATCGTCCTTCTTGTCAGTGCTGAAGTCACTTCCTGGATCAGGTGGTAGCTGACAGGCTGACTGGTGTGTCAATCAAACTGCTGACTCGCAGCATTCCGAGAACATTTAGTTAAAGTTCATAGTGTAAAGGCTTGGACCAGTGGATGGCGATGATGAGCGAGTATTCGCCACGGTGGAGAATATGATTCAGGTGAGTGTCACAAACAGGGACAGGACAATAGAAAAGGTCCAAAAGTCCAAACCACCACTGTGACTAGTGTTGGCCATGGGGTACTACATATATATATATATATTTTTGTTCTGCCTTTGGTCTTATTTTATATTGAATGTGGAAAAGAATCAGTTCATTTATCAATAAATATGTTGTGTTTTTTAAGGTCAGCTGTTCTAGGTCAGCTGTAGAGTTTCTGTTTGTTTTGTGGGGGGAGAACAACTTAAATTATTGTGGCTGCCCCACATTGTGTCAGTTTGGAGGCGGTTACCATGGTTACAGCTGAAGTACAAACTAGTAATTCTGCTCTACGTTGACATCTTATATAATGACGTCCCAGGTTAAAGTGAGGCGGCGACTCTGACCCAGTGGTAAATAAACAGTTTCCTATGTTGTTTCAGAGGGTGAGGTAGAACTCCGGCACCTCACCCCCAGTGTAATGACATCCTTGAATCAGATAGGAGTGAGTGATCCTCTGAGAGGAGCCACAGGAGGGACAAAGGGTCTAATTCTCCCCCCCTGACTGACATCACCTCCGAGTCTTTCAGAGCAGAGACACCCAGAGAAAGAGGGAGTGACACTGAGACAGAAGGGGAGAGAGAGAGGGAGGGAGAGGGAGAGAGGGAGAGAGCGAGAGAGATATAGAGTGCTAAGGACAGATAACAGCAGGAGCAGAGCAGATGTGGCTCATCACAGAGGAAGACCTTGGCCCAGAAATTTGAAAGAGTACCCAGTGCGGACGCGCCCACACTTGTGGTAAACTAAACACGAGTCAAAGCCAAAGTCAAAGAGACGCTGGAACGAGAACCTCAGAAGTCAGACCACCGTGACACACGGCAACGGAAAGCATCGTGACTCAGTGGGTGGGGGGGGGTTGTGGGGGGGTCGCGGTGCGACCTCCACACTCATAAAAGTAGCAGCGATTCCACAGAACAGAGTGAATGGATGAACGTTCCCACCAGGAACTTCATGGATGTGGAGCAGGGCGATTAGGGCGATACGTGCGCATTCTCCCGCTCCCTCTCTCTCTCTCTCTCTCTCACACACACACACACACACACACACACACACACACGGACCCAGTGCTGTTTTTTTGTGTGCGCACTCTCTTTACGTCAAACACGACAGTCGAACGATCTTTCTTTACACAACGACATCAAAAATGTCCAAGTCTGACTGAAAGACATCATCTGTACATTCACTGCCAACAGGAAACATATGCGTTTACACACACACACACACAGAGACAGTGATGCAGTATGTTGTAAAATACTCACCCTGCCACTAAAGTCGTGCTCACACGTCTGTAGAATAGAAAGCTCCTGACGGAGGAGGTGTATGCTGGCTTTTTGCTCCTCCTCTGTTCCTCCCACCCTCACCCCCTGTCCCCCTCTTTTCTCTGTGTGTTTACCCTGAAGCCCTCTTACCCATCCCTCACATCTCTAACCCTCTCTGCCTCACTCTGTGTTTCCGCCAAGCACTGCGGTGGATCGACTCAGCTACTTTGGC